GCTGGTGCAATAGCTCTGGTGCAATAGCTCTGGACATTCTGCCCTACACCTGAAGAGATGACCCAGGCCAGCTCTCTTGACTTGCTAGTGAGTTATTTCTCTCTATGGCACCAGGGCTAGAACTCCCAATAAACACCTGAGTGTGAGAACAGATGTAGGGATATAAGCTGGAAATTCCTGACTGAGAGATACTACTTTACAAACTATAAAAGCTACACAAACTTTAATGGAGGCAGAAACCACCTACACACACCCTGGAAATGTGTGGGACTTCTCAATCAGAGTTTGGATGCAAATTTGCCAGATACTTTCCTAGGAACTGAATGAAAGAATTCTATGTGTACTCCATCACCAATTCAGTGGTAAATTACATTGAATCCTAATCTATACTATTTCTTTGCTAGCTGTAAATATAGGTACCTTTATCATGCACTGTATTTTATCTACTAGTAGTTCTTTTTGTCTTACTCCTATGTAGGAAGTAGTCTGTTTAAAGTCTTATGTCTGTTAATTTTGTTAATTCAATAAATAATTCATCTTGTAATAGACCTAATCAACTGTTATTAAGAACTTGTGAGTGAGAGCAATCTCACAGTGGCACAGGCCGCCTCAAACAGCCACCCTCAGAAATCTGCATCTAAGGCAGGACTTGCCTGGGCTCTTGCCCTCTCATTCATCACAGGCAGCAGGAAACAATAGTGCTGAAACTATAGTGAATGTGTTATCTCAGTAGCTCACGCCTTTAGGAGTACTGAGACTACTCATAAAGAAGCATAGTAAGAACAGGATGAAGGCACTGGTGTTTAATTGCTTAAAACAAGAAAGTCTAAAGGATGCAAAAACGATCTGACAGCACTGCAAAAAGTGCTGACATCTCAGGAGGGTTTAATTTCTCACAGCAAACAGCAGTCTAGACTTACAAATATCTGTTCTGTATTCATCTTAAGTACTTAATTCAGGAACCCTGGAAGCTTCAGGGGTGCCTTTGCTTTTGGCAATCCCTGTCACTTGTCCTTAGATGTCCAGAGCTTGCATTGCCTGGCAGAGGCCTGCAAGTCCAGCAGAGGTGTTTCAGGAGCATTGCACTGCACAACGCCTCTGGCAACACCTTGGCTTTGTTACTGTTCTTTGATGTCCTTACTACAGGCACTGACTGAGGTGGGACAAAGAGAGTATGACAAAGGTGTAGGAGAGATAAGGGACTCCACTCTGGTTTTTCCTATTGTTACAATCAATTTTATACCAACATTTCCAGTACAGATGAACCTGTCCATTTATCTCCAGGTGCAGTTGTCTGGGGAAATGTGGATCTGATAAGGCTGAGCAAGTGTCAGAAGAGATGTGGGAGCAGCACAGGCAGAGCAGCAGGATGGGCATGCAGCTCTAGCATATGCTCTGAGCGTGGTTTGGGCTAACTGTGCCAAGGATGACCTCGTTGCAAGGCTTTTGAGTAACCACATCTCACAATCCATGATGAAAGTTAGACAGATCAAAGCCTTACGCAGAGCCTCTAGATTCCTCCAGACATTAACATGACCTAAAGTTTGTTGATATTGTATCTTTGTGAGGTTTATCTCATCTAGGGCAAATGTAGCTAACCACAAAGATTTTCAGAGTGGAAGTTCTTCATGGAGTAAGGGATTTTCAGAGTTTTGCAGACTCCTGAAACGTAGACTCTGTCTGGCATGGCAGAAAGAAGATATTCTTGTGCAGTCTCATAACATCTGACTATTTTCACCTCTTCCTATGCTCAACTGCCTTAATGAATAAGAAAATGCCACCGCCCCTGTGGTGGCATGCAGAAACTGAGGGATGGTACAGCTATGACTTACTACTCATTATAATAAGAAGGTTGGTTTTGAGACCCTTCTACCTCTAGACCAATGACTCTGATTTTGCTTGTGAAATGACAAAGAAAGGGCAGCAGAGCACCCTTCCCACCCTCTGGGAAGAAAGAATTATTGAAAGGCTGTGAAATACGGTATAAGTAAAATTAATCCGACTTTAGAATTCCAGGCATCTGTTCTGATTCTGCAGCTTTAGTTGAGGTGATAAATGACCTCCACAAGTAGATCTGAATATAGCTATACCACAGGAATGTGCAATCAGTTTTCAAGCTTTTGCCTGAGTAAACAGCAATTTGTTTGAGACAGTTTGCAAATCACAGATTTTTGATTAACCATTAGAAAAAGTCTCAGACATTGCTTCCAGACTATTGCATTGGATGCTTCAGTGCCTTTGAAAATATGAGCTCATGCCTGAGCAGACCGAGTTTGCTTGGTTCACTTATTTTATTTGAGTATTTTGCTAAAGATAAAAAGCCCCTCATATGTGAGAACTACAGTGTGATGAAATAGTGTTTTGTGACCTCTGAGAATTTGTTGGGCCTATTTCTTACAAAGCAAGTTGAACCCCTCTCTCTGATCAACTTCACAGACATGACTGGCTGGACAGTGAATTGCAAGCAGCTATGTGACATGACTCAGGGGGAGGACAGCAAAGCTGTAGCTCTGCCGGAGCAGTGCCAGGCCACTTGCTTTGTAACCTAGGAGCAACTATTTCTAGTAAAATTTAATTGCCAGAGCTAGTCTTGGCTGCTGCTCCACTTCACTCCTGCCAGCTGCAGAGCCACTGTACCTCCTGCTCCACACGTGCACGCAAAATCATCACACACAGTTGGTCCAGCACTGGTCTCTGAGTTTATTCAGCCACCGCCTTCTCTCTCTGGCTGCAACCTTGACTGAAGTCAGCAGCCAGAAATGTTTTTTTTTTAAGGTTTATCTGATTTTCCTGCTGTAAATCCAAGAAACAATTCATTTTTTCAGGGTAAGAGCAAAAGTGTTGGCCCAGGCAGACTGCTTGGTAAGTATTTTTCTATAAGCTTTAATCACACAGCCAGCACAAGTATCCTTAGCTAAGGTTAAATGGAGCAGAAAACCATAATATTTGCAAGTGACAGAGGGAGTGCTGTCTCCATCCCTCATGCTATTTTGCACATAGGCCTCTTTTGCTGGAAAAGCAATTTGCAATGACAGTGATCCCAAAGTCTGTACAATACTGCACCAAAGGATGAATCCCTTTACACTTCAATAGCTTCTTGGCTAGATAATCTGGTTCTATTGAATTTCAGCCAGAGATTGCCCCATATTACAAAAGACTGTTTCTCTTTTGACAAATAATGGCTGAGCTGTCTCTCCCTGATGCACTGCTGACTGAAAATCAGTCTCCTTCATACTCCATATTATAGAAGGAGCATGCATTAGTCAGCATGCATGCATGCAAAAAAACCCCAAAAAACAACTACAAAAGAAAACCATTAAACCTTTTAAAGGATCAAAGCATAAAAACAGATTCTGATTAACAACACACAGCAATTACAATAAAATGTGGGTCTATGAGCCTTTCTTCATCATCTCATAATTGTGGATCCTGAGCAGTTTTTGATAAATATGCAGGACCTAGCAAGTAGATACCACATTGTAACAGGGGCAATTAGTCATCCATATCAGATTCCAGCAGTTGTATTGTATTTATTAATGTAACTGTGCCCAGGACATTGCAACCAGCTTCTGGTTTATGTTTCACCACTTCCCTTTCACATTCTGAATCAAGAGCATAAAGTGTCTCTGAGGCTTTTGCAAAAGTCCCTTACCCCATTTTAGGGTGACTACATCACTCCTATTCCCTTTGTTCTGCCATGAAATATCCCTCCTTATTTTTTTACTGCTGCTACTGAAGTCTGCAGTCACTGACTTGCACTGCTCATTATGGGTTCCCGAGATAGAGGCAATGCTCTGATGCACACGGCGTTAATGACCTTTGGGTCTGAGGAGTGGTTGATGGTCTGTGTGTGCTACCACTGATCCAGGCAGTGCCCCATGCCTCCCCGGAGTGAGCTCAGCCAGTCTGTCATGCCCATGGCCAGGCAGGGATGCTCTCTCACCGGCACCAGGGTTGTTTTTCATGTCCCCTGAACCCCTTCCCACCTGGCCCCCTCATCCACCCTGTGTTACCCCCTCAGACGGGTCACTCACAGGAACAACAGAGCTGCTGGCGGCATCAGCACTGTCCTCTTCAGGGCCGTCAGGTCTGAAGGAACTGGGGAGCCACTGAAGGGACAAGAGGCTGAGGGGGCTGGGGGCAGTGGGGGGATGGTGGGGCTGAGGGCTGAGGACATTAGGGTGTGGGCTGGGGGTGCTGAGGGGACATGAAACTGACGATGTAAATACTCAAAAAGCATATTGTTTGCAGTATCTCAGTTGTGACGGGAAACTGAGACCCATTGTTCAGAGTTTCATAAACCGTAAAAAAGGTTTTCTTACCAAGGAAAGAAGTTGCTCAACCAAGACAGCATATTGCGTGCCAATTCATAAGTCATGTCCTCAGGTGAACTTGTGTCCATGAAAGGATAAAGTAAGGTGGGGGCCATTCCCCAGATATCCACCAGAGACCCTCTTGAGACTGTTCCCCAATTGTGTATGCATGCCGAAGCTATAAGGTGTAGAGCTTTATTAATAAGGGGGACGAGAATTCTGGAACTGTGCTGGCGTGTGTTAGGAGGAGTGGGTCCGTAACACTGAAATTACACTGCTAGAGAGTTGTACTCTTCCCGACCTTTCTGCGACGCGGGGGGCAGTGGGCTGGGGGTTCTGAGGGGACCGGAGGGCTCTGAGGGGACCGGGGCCCCGGGGCGCGAGGCTGATGCCGGCACGAGCCGCGCGTCGTGCGCCGGGCGCGTGCCGGGCGGCACCGGCGGGGCGTTGGGCGCGCGCCGCCGCGTGTGGCGACAGTTGCCGCCCGGCGCGATGGCGAAGGGGCCGCTGCCCGCTGCTTTCCGCCCCTCCTCCGCCGCCCTCTGGCCCCTCTCCCGCCTTGTCGTCCCGCGGCCCTGCACCTTCCCCATGAAGCTGTGGCTGCTGGTCAATAGCCCGTTAGTCCGCTCGGTGCGCTGGGACGCCCGCGGCGAAGGCCTGTTCATCGACCAGGGGCTCTTCGAGCAGGAGCTGCTGGCCGTGGGGCCCAGCGCCGCCGGGGAGGAGGAGCTCTTCAAAACCAAGAACTTCGGCAGCATCATTCGCCAGCTCAACCTATACGGGTTCCACAAGCTGACGGTGAGTCCGGGCAGCAGCGCGGTCGGGTCCAAGCCGAGGCCGGCCACGGCGGGGGGCGATACCAGCCACGCTGGTGGGCCCCTGCACCACTTCTGGAACCCCCACTTTCGCTTCGGCCGCCCCGACCTCCTCGTAAAGATCAAGAGACTGACCAAGGCCAACAAGGAGAAGCTGGACGCTGGCCTGGAGGTGACCAGCCGCCTGACCGACGACTTGCAGTACATTACTGGAAGGGGCCTTGCTGCCGTCGCCCACGTCCCTCGGCGAGGTCGGAAGGACCGGTGAGTCGGGCGGGTCATGGGTGGCCGCGGTCGGCCTGGGGGTGGCAAGGGCTCAGAAAATTGGCACTGTCCTGGGGGGAGCCAGTCACCTGCCCGTGCTGGTGGCTGCTCTGTCCATGCGGTGTCAGAAAAGGGTTGTTCTGCAGGAAGGTAGATCTGCTGCCAGTAAACACAGGGCATGTAACTACAAGTTGCTACAACTGTGCTGCCTATTTATAAATAGGCAAATATCAATATATGTAGCTCAATATCTATATACCTCTCACTGTGTATGTCACAGGTCCTGCTTGTATTATCTACAATGAGTGACATGGTTCACAGTGTTTCAGTGTGCCTGTAGACTGCCTGCAGAGTAGCAAGGACCTAAAAGTAATATACACACACCAAATTGTCCTTAGGTAAAAGGTGCAACATGCATTCTTTTGTATGTTTAAAATCTTCGTATTAAAAAAAAAAAAAAAAAAAAAAAAAAAGTTGCCCAAAACACAAGTTCAGTGTGCTTTGAAAATGAAGAGGCCAATCAAAGGAAAATACTGCAGCAGTTCTGCTTTTTGAATCTTTGTGTTTTCAGCTGTGGGAAACCATATACAACATAGAGAAGAATGGCAAGGAGAAGGGAAGACTTTGAGATCTACTTTAGCAACACACACAAATCGAGTAATTTTCAATGTTCTCAAATTCAGGGAAAAATTTCATAGAAATGTCAGTTATTATCTCAATAAAATTTTGCTTGAAGGAATATGCTAACAGCTATTATTCAACACATACCAGTTTTCTAAAATATGAATTGTTAAGTAACATTCATCACATGAACTGAAAATATATCCATGGATACTTTGTAAATTTCAAAACCTTGCCTTTTCCTTCAAATAATATTTCATCAGACTCTTTCATTTTTGTTTATTTTGTTTGAAATTAGCTTCTGATCTTATTTCACATTACATAGCTCTTGGCCATATTGCTTTTCTGATAACATTAAGATGTGCTCACATGAGGCCTACCTTAGATACCTGAAAGACCTTTTTCACCTTTCATCCAAAGAAAAGTTCCCCAGTCCAGGGCATTGCAAACAGTAGCACAGTTACCTGGGCCATTACTGGGATGGCTGAGGATGGGCAGGGTCGTGCAGCCCAGCAGAGACCTGATGTGACATTGCTGTCCTCCATTAGCACAACAAAGGGAAACAGATGATATAATCCAGATCTTCCTAATTTTGGGATGGGAATGAGCTCAGAAAGTCTGGAGTTTTTGTAAAGCTTGTGCAAAAGGCTGGGTCTGATTCACATGGTCAGCACTACCTCATTGCTCTCTGCTCCATGTGGGTAGACAGCTCCTACCCGAATCTTCAGTCTGTGTTGTCATTCTCTCCTCTTAAGACCATTTCATAATAGTGAGGAGCAAATGAAACTAAGTGAAGTAAGACATAGCACCTCGAACTTGCAAGGCTTTTTTGAGGTTTAAGTGCAGTACCCAAACAGGCACCTAACTCACAGCCTTAAGTGTCCTTTCACAAGTTTACTACTGCAAATCGCTGAGCCATGGTGCTACCTAAGGATACCATGGGTCCTTCAGATCTCACAGTTGCTGTGACATACATGGAAAGAAAAGCTGGAGCAATTTATGTAAAACTTAATGTGTTCAGGGCAGATACTATGAGAGAAGGTTCTATGGCTTTGTGATTCTGGGGTTCAGATTAAATTATTATTTTGCTGCTTTCTGGGCTCAGCTCCCCTGAATCAGAGCCAAAAATCACACATATGAGATCCTTTAAGTAAAGATTTAGAAATCGAATTGTTGCAACACACAGTTCATCAGTTGTAAGTTACTTACTTGTTTTGGGTTTTTCCCCCAATGTCCTCATAGTGGACGTAAATTAAAAAATTGTCCAGAGGAGGGCAACAAGGCTGGTGAGGGGCTTGGAATGCAAGCCCTATAAGGAGTGACTGAGGGAGCTGGGGTTCTTTAAGAAGCCTGGAGAAAAGGAGACTCACACCTTATCAATCTCTACAACTCCCTGAAAGGTGGTTGCAGTCACGTGGGGTCGGTATTTTTCAGCAGGCAGCAGCTGACAGAACCAGAGGACACAGTCTCAAGCTGCACCAAGGGAAATAAAGGTTGGATATTAGGAAGAAATTTGTTACAGGAAGTGTGATAAAGTACTGGAATGGTCTGCCAGGGAGGTGGTGGAGTCATCATCCTTGGATGTGTTTAAGAAATGACTGGATGTGAAACTCGGTGCCATGATTTATTTGAGGTTAGGGCATGGGTTGGGCTTGATGATCTTTAAGGTCTCTTCCAACCTAGTCATTCTGTGAATTCTATAAATTCTGACCAACACTGTCTTTCTACATTTTACCTGAAGTGGCCATGGTAAACCCCTGCATTAAGAAGATGAATTAATTAAATTATCATGAACCACAGTTAATGTGCCTCTGACATGTGAAGCATTTAAACTACATTCCTAAAGACACATTCCTCTTTTGGGGGACTCACTCAGACCTTAATTGTACTTAATGCAACTATATTTTTCTAAGGCAGAGAGAAAGGAAAAGAATGGGAGGGTTTCTCAATCTTTTTAAAAGCACAGAGAAAAGACATGTCTAAAGGAAAATGCAAAATGACAAGTGCTGCATACTGTCATCTCATCAAATACATATACTCTTTGTGCTGCAAGTGGGAACAGCAACTGGCAAGTACAGTTGAAGCGTGTTTAAAAATAAAAACCACCAGTCTACTAGAAGATTTTAAGTGTAATATCATTAACAAGTTTTGGAAACTCACTGTGCCTGGGACCACTTACAGCCACAGGAAACATCCTAGTTGTCTGCTCCAGGGGCAGAAATATCATGGCAGGACAACAGCCACAAGAGGGGGAGCACAGCCAGTGCTAGAAAAGGGGAAAAGCCAGTGGCCAGACTCCAGAAACCCCAGAAGCCTGGGAAGGAAAGCATCTTCTAAAAATTGAGGCAAATCAGACACATAACAAGAAGAAATGTTTATCTGAATAAATTTAAAGACACACTGGTGGCCCTACACTCTGTCCAGGACTGCAGCCATCCAGCAGAAGTTCTGTTCTGCCTCACTGCCTGCCAAGTATGGTGTGCCTCTTCTGCAGCTGATGTCACTGTCAGTGCTGTGACATTGCTGTCTTCCATTCACCCAAGTCCCTGTAACACAGCAGAGTGAGCAGAGATCACTTTGACCTGTGACCCCCCGGGACCAGGTTGCTTAGGGATGATGCAATGTCCCTGTCTCCTCTTCTGCCTAATGAGATCCCACATAAGTACTTCTCACTGCATATTGTGATGTGTTTGTACAGCTGCTAAGTCACCAGCATGGCATCTCTGTGGCAAACAAGTTGTATTTGCCACTGATCTATGAAGATACTGAGAAGCAGAAGCACAATGGTTCATTCAGTGCCAAATTCAAGTTCTATTGGCTGATTTAAATTACTTTCAGCTTCTTAAAGGTCAGCCACTTCTGAGTGATAGTGTACTCTCAAACTTGTAACTTGAGATCTAAAAGTAGGCTAATAGGTGAATGACGCAAGGGATGCACACATGGATGGATGGATGGATGGATGGATGGATGGATGGATGGATGGATGGATGGATAGGAGAATGAATAGAATGTTTTCTCCATCCCTAACAGCCTCATTCCAGCACACTGAAGTCCTCTAAAAGCATACTGTACCATCTGAAGAGACTTCTGCCAAAATGCAGAGGGAAGGAAGAAAAACTGTGCGACATTAGCCTATATTTTAAAAGAAAGGGAGTGTTCTTTGGTTCCATTAACTGTTGCGGTTCCATTAACTCTTGAAGTTCCATTGATTTCTTTTCAAAAGGCTGAAAATCTAGTTTAAAAAAGGAAAAAAACTAGTGAAATATTAAAAAAACCCCAACAATTGGTATGGCCAGAAGACTGCTGCCAAACTTGGCACGTTTAGAAAATTCAAACACCTAACAACATAAAACATTCAGGATTTTTTGTTTGTTTGTTTGTTTTGGTTTTGGTTTTTGGTTTTGATGGAGCAGGCACAGTTTTGCCCTGTAAACGTTATTTAATGTGTATTCTGTTGTGAATTAAAGACACTTAGAGCCCCAAACTAGCTAGGTTACAATATATCCTGCTTCAGGGTTTCTGCCTCCCAGGAGCAAGAATCAAAAGGTAGGCAGTAGATGCTTGTAGATAAAGGACTTAACTCTTTTGGTAATCTTTGTGCAGGACATTTCCAGTGGCCGAGCTGATGTCTGGTCATGTGATCCCCCTGGAAAAGAGAGACATAAGCTGGATAAGCAACAAGACAGAAAGACAAGGGAGGTCAGGAGGAGTTTGTCAGGCTTGGAAAGAAAGAAGCAGGGACATACCTGCACACTACACTATGAAGGAGCAGAAACAAAACTCACACCTGGATGTCTGTAACAGGCAAATCTTCTTAGTTTAGAGAAATTGCCAGCAGAGATAAGAGCAACATGAAGAAACATCGTTTAGTGCCAAAGAAGCTGGTATGTACCCTAATTGAACTGTCCGAACAGCCTGTTGCTGACCTGTCTGCTGCAGTCCATTCGTCATGGGCCGACCTAGAGCAGAGAACAGTGGTTTTGAATGGTCTCAGTGACATTTTGGCTCTACTTGAGGTCAGTGACGAAAACGCTACAAGGCTCAAAAAGGTCAATTCTCACCTTCAACCTGTAAACCGCTTATAAATCATTTATTAAATATAGCTCTTTAAATAGTTGGACTGCTTAGTGTTTTCACTGCCATGTGTGCATGACATTAATAAAAGTGCCATGGAATCCAGCCATGGAATCCAGCTGGTGGAAGGAATATAACTATATAGTGTTCCTGATTTTATAGTGTTCCTGATGAGAAAAGGAGTATAGACTTTCCCCAAGATTTCCTTCCCACTTGAAAATAAACAAAGCATAACTGCACTGTCTTTTTTTTTCTCTGAAATGTAAAAATCACAACAGCAGGTTTTGTTTCTGAAGAACACATTTGGAATGCCAAATTGGAATTCCAAATGTTTATTAGCTTTAAATCAATGCTGTTTAGCATCTTGATCAATATTTCAAATAATTCTGTTGAAATGACTTTTTTTTCTTTATTCATTAATATTAGCCATTGGACTGCTTAGATCCTATTTATGCTTTTGCTTCAGTTATGCGAATTTTCTGTAATTGCACCTGTGGTATCTTACTGTAATTTAGTTAACTATTCTCTTTATTTATAAATCTCCTATTACATTTATTTATCAGCATTATTATTAGAAAAATAATGGATAACTATTCATTTACATCTAACAGAGTAGGAACAGAAAACCATTTTTAACCACACTTCTTAATGGCCCTGTAAGGGGATGAAACAGTACAGCAAGTAAAGTTTAAGGGTGACATGAAGCAAGCCATAATGTAAGCTTTATTGGACATTCTATCTGTTTTACTGTAAATATTTGATTATGTCCAGCCCCTACATTAAACAGTATCATTACAAATTGCTTCTGAGAATTTGAATGCATGTTTAACTTTGAAAGTCCATCTCACTGCTTAGCCTAAAGAAATCACAGTAAGGAAAATAACTCATGGTCACCTTTGCCAGAACTAGAATAATATTGGAGGGCAGTAGGCTACTGCCATACTGTTGTGGAGCAGTATTTGAGTGGGAAGGGACATCTTATCTACGGGGTTTAAAGACATTTCTGACAAGAATAGAGAGCATTGGGAATCCCCAGTCTGTGTACACAACCCAACAAACACATAACAACGAACTATCAAGAAAATAAAGTTTAATATCTTTAAAGCAACTAAAAATTAAGTCCTACAGTGCAAACTATAGTGTAAGTTTACTCCATTGACTGCTGAAGCTGTTAGTTGCACAGTAACACTAATGTAGTCCTAACCTAGAACAATACCACACAGGCTCTGAATGAACAGACGGAAATACACATATTGAGAGCTGCTGGCTTTTAATCAAAAGACAGATGACACAGTAAGACATCATGGGTGCTGTGAGGAGCTCATTTAGTTCTGTTCCGCTTCAACAACGGATGTCAGAGGCGGATGGGGGAGGGATTGCACGTGTGCATGTGCAGGAAGCGACTAGGAAAAGCCTTGTCTCTGGGAGGATTCCACCTGGCAACACCTCACATGGGACAGGCAGAGAAGACACTGAACGCCCCAGGCGGGCTGCTTCCATCGGGTGGCAAAATGTTGGACTGGGCCAAGTCCAGGGGCATAAAAAGTAACTGCGTAACAAGCACCTGGGGCTTTTCGAAACTTTCTGATTTTAGCTTGAGCTTTTTTGAGACTGTGCTTTTGTTTTTGAGGCTTGGTTTTTCGAGACTTGCTTTTCGAATCTTGCTTTTGAGTCGGGGCTTTTTGAGTCTTAGGCTTTTTGCCCTACCCCCAAGCCTGCCTTCTGGCTCTCCTGCCCTCGCCGGCTCTGGCTCTGCCCCGCGTTTGCCCTGCCTCCCTGTGTGTCTGACCAACGCCCCGCCTGTTCCGTCTCTGCGTCCGTGCCTTTGCCCTCCGGGTCGCACGCTGCCGCCCCGGCGCAGCCGTGGCCACCGGGACTGCGCCTTTCCCAGAGCCGCGCTGGCCCGTTCCCACCCACGGCAGGCAGCCAGCACAGCCCCGCCGCCTGGGCGCCGACAGCATTTCCCTGACTCGCTCCGGGTAACGCCCTCTTTTCCTCTGTCTTCTCTTTCTACCGACTCTGCCGTTCCTTCCTCGTTTTCCTTCGTCGTTTTTGTCTCTTCTCTTTTGTCTTTCATTTGGACAACTCCTTTTCGTTTTCGTTCCAGTACACAGTTCACAGATACAATATTTGCCTCGTTTGGTATAATTTCATTCCCGAAAATCCATTACTGAAAGAACTTGCAGTTCCCCGCAGTAGAACGCAACAGGTGCCCCGGAATGGTCGGGGCTGAAGGCTGTGCTGCAGATGCTGACGGGGCCACGGATGTCTAGGCACTGCAGACCCCAAGACTATGGGCCCACGGACTACATGGACTTCAGGGAGGGGCTGTGCAAGTTCTGCTTCAAGAGCTTCACTTATGAGGGCAAGCTCAGAAGGTGGGAACTTTACAGACACCTCAAGGACTTCTGAGGTTTTGGAGAGAACTGTTCTGCCTCCTACTATGGCTGAACCTCAGGGGACAGGAGGGACTTCATTCTAGCCCTGTGGGATCTTGGTTTCATCTTGTTTATTATGATTGTTTTTATACACAGTCAGGATAACTCCTGGAGAAAGAACAAGCCTGGATCCTGACCTGTACTGCAGCACAGTGCTGCACTACACCACAATGCTGGCTGCTGGGGGTCGGTGCTCCCTGATTTGGGGCTCTAAGTTAGATGCCAGGCTGGGCTGTGTGAAATACCAAGCTGTGTTTTGTGTCAGATACGTACAGGCAATGTGTATCTGTGATTGTGATATGTGTAGAAACTGACCATGTGACAGTTATAAAGACAATTTTAATAAATAACTGAGGAAGTAAAACACAGAAGAAAGCCTTTGAACCTATCCTTTGTTCTCAATTAACCTTTGTAAGTCTTAAGTTGATTTAGGAGCATTTGAATTAAAGCTTTAAGGATGTTGCTGTTCGACAAGAACTTTCTGCTTCTAGCTAAGCCTTAAAGAGTTTTGCAATAATAACCTTTTGAAGTATAATTTTAAAATATTGCTTGTAGTAAGAATCTTTGAAACTATAGCTTTAGAATATATAAAATAAAAACATGCTTATCTCGACACCTTCATAAAACATGAAAAAGCAGCTTGAGAAAGGAAGATGAACATCAACTCGAGGATTGGTAGTTTCGACCAAAGGAATCTAGACATGACTGTTAGGAGATTTATAGTCCTTGCAATTAAAAGGTGAATCCACATCTGGAATCTAGACCTCACCAGCTGGGAGACTTCTTTCTTCCTTTGGAAGCTGGACCCCACCATCTGGGGATACTCCTTTCTGGGATACATCCTGAAAAAAACTAAATCACAATAGTGTATAGAATTGTGACGTAAAAAATTAGAAATAGAAACTGCTGAGAAGGCTTATGAGTACTCCTATAAATACCTGTAAGCCCCAACTATCAGTGTGCAGGTAGAGGGAAAATTTCCCCCACTGTACTGCTCTGTATTGCTCATACTTTACCATATTAATTAATAAATTAATTGCTGCTTGAATATTTACCTTGTCAAGCCTCTCATTTATAACAGCTGGAAGGATGTACAGGCTTGGGAAAATGGAGACCCGTTGGCCTGGGAGAGGGCTGGGATGATTACTTCTCTGCAGACCTGGAGACACCTTCAAGGGATGGTGGGTGGGGCAGGGACAAGTGTTGGCCAATGACTGCTGCTCTTGTGTGGTGGAATGGCAGCAGCATAGCTCTGGACATCCCTCCTCATAAGAACCCTCTTCCTGTGGATGCTGGGTTTGGTGGGACTTCGGGGACAATGACACACCCCTATTACCTCAGATCATGGTGTAATGACATCCTCTCTCTGTGGGACAACCAGGGTAATGACACATCTTTTGTGGGGGATGGCTGGGCTCATCAGGACCCTCAGGTCTGTGATACCTGTGATACCTCATCCCTCTCTCTGGGATACGCCTCTTTGGGACCAGCTCCTGAGCTTTTCAGGAGCCCCAGAGCTGTCACAACCCCCACTTTTGGGGGAATCGGGCTTGTGGGACCCTCAGGGCCGTGGGAGCCCAGCACTCCCCTCAATAGATGTGGTCACCCTGTCCCTGAAAGGGGTGCAGGTCCTTAGCATGAGGGTTCCCCCTTCTGTCCCAGGCAAGTGCCAACTGCTTCAGTCATCCTTGGTGTTCCTGTCCTTCCTGCAACTCCCTCAGCTCCCTGCTGAGTCAATGCCATTCTAAGACTCTTTGGAGGCAGCTTGTCCAGCTACCTCCAAGAGACCTATTCCCTGGGTAATGGTGGCCTGTTTTTGAGTGCTGGCACTTAGGTTTGTGTCCTCAAAGAGCTATCATTGGCTGAAATCACTCTGCAGCATCTGACTCCCTACCTGCTCCTTTCCCTGCACCTCCTAAACCCCAATGCCCACATCCTTCTCTATCTTTTTGCCAAGATTTCTGTCCTGGGAAAAGGATTAGTAAAAGTAGGAAAAATTAAATTGTTTAAATTGTGACATTACAACAAATACCTATTCTGCTTCCCTAATGTCATTCCCTTTTGTTAGAAGTGTACAAAGATTAAAAAAAATTAATATTTATTACTATTTGGATAGCAGGAAATATGAAATGTTGAAAGTTTTAATCACATTCATATAATCATAAAATTGCTTTGGTGGGAGGGGACCCATCTTGTCCACTCCCACTTCCACTTGAGGCCAGGTTGCTCAAAGGCTCATCCATCCTGGCCTTGAATACAGCCAGGGATGGGACATCCACAGCTTCTCTGGACAACCAGAGAAATGTCCAGTGTCTCACCAACCTCAGAGTAAAGAATTTCTTCCTAATGTCTCACCTAGACCTACCCCATTTTAGTTTAAAGATGTCCCCCGTGTCCAGTGTCTCACCAACCTCACAGTAAAGAATTTCTTCCTAATGTCTCACCTAGACCTACCCCATTTTAGTTTAAAGATGTCCCCCTCTTGATAATATTACAACATATCACATCTCCTGTAGTAAGGAAGGCTGCAGTATCATAGCCGCTGAATTGTTAGGGTTTACCACAGGTGAATTTTCAGATGACACCAAGTTGGAGGGGAGTGTTGATCTGCTGGAGTACAGTGGGGCTCTGCGGTCCTGAGAAGCACAGGTCCACAGTATGAGAAGCAGCTGAGAGAGCTGAGGTTGTTTAGGAGGCTCAGAGGGAACTTCCTCTCTCTCTACAACTCCCTGAAGGGAGGGTGTAGCCAGGTGTGGGTTGGGCTCTTCCCCCTGGCAACCAGTGACAGGGTAAGAGGACAGAGTCTTATGCTGTGCCAGGTGAGGTTTAGGTTAGGGAGGGAGGAAATTAGGAGGCATTTATTCACAGAAAGGGTGATTGGGAATTGGATTGGTCTGCCCATGGATGTGAGGGAGTCAGTCCATGGAGGTATTAGGGAAAGAGTGAATGTGGCACTCAGTGCCATGATCTAGTAGACAAAGTGGTGTTTGGTTATAGGTTGGACACGATGATCTCAAAGGTTGGTCTTTTCCAACCTAGTCGATTCTGTGATTCTATGAAGATGGGAGTAGAAAAGATAGTCATCAGGGACGATACCTTGAACTGCTGTGCAAAGACATACAAATTAATTACTGGACAGTAGAATACCCCATAGGATCCTGCAATTGGTAAAGATCCATCAGTAAGAAAACAAGGTCACTGTAGTTTTAGAAAAAGAAGCTAACACGAACAGTAGGACGTTTCAGAAAGGAAAATGCATGTCAGTGCACAAGTGCTAAATACACTTTTTCAATACAAGGAACATTTCAACCAGGGATGTTTTTCACGTTATTGTCTTGTTCTGTGCTAAATGAGAGTTTGTCATTTCAGAAATAAGACACTTCTTAAAAAAGTATCTCATTCTTGGTTTTACTATAAATTTCTTATATACTTACTCTATGTCTTTATTCTTAACTATTTCTTTTTCTGGCTCTGTATCATCATTCACATGTCAACAGAGCACATTACTCCTCAGCCCTGCCATTTGCTATGTGCCTGTACCAAAGGCACTGTAAACTTAGAGGCCTCTTTTGAAACTGGTTATGCAGTTAAAGTATATAGGCATTTCAGATTGCAAATATGTAATGACATGAAATAGTCCGGTTCAAACTGCTTGGGTTTTGAGCATGTTTATTATTAGTGTGGGTTACTAAAGGGTGTAGAATGTTTTGTTTCTTTGCAGGTTTTTTCCTTTAAAACATGGTAGTTTTGCACCTAAAATTAATCATATTTTAAGTTCCAGTCCTGAATTCTCACTGTTCACTGTTGCAAGAGCAGATAATTCATGTATTGCATTTGTCCCAGTTTTGGCTGGGATTTTATTCTCAGCAGCTAGTGCTGTGTTTTGTCCTGCTGCTAAGTATATATATAACAATACCCTAGAAAGGCAGTTCAGAGACTTGTCCAAGAGCGCAGGCAAATGTAGTGTGAAAGAAAAAAATAATAAATCTTACTCCACTCATGCTTCCTCTTTAACCTTTCTTATGATTCAGGTCTGGTTGTTTAAATTAACAGTATTTAGTACAGACCATGCTTGTAAGTATTCTTTAGGATTCCCTAAAGAAATTGGGGAAAGAATTAATTTTGAAAAAGCTATAAAAGAACAGTGGATAAAGAAAATATCATTACTAACACTGTGCCCAGAGACTCAAATTGCAACAGTAAAGCATGTAATTACATATTGTTCCTCATGTCCAACAAAAATGCAATTATATAAGTATATAATACAAGAAAATGTACTGTAGGGAACACATGAAAATCATCAAGCTGAAAGGAACAATAATTTCTGGCAAGTGAATGATTTCTTAGTAGTTTTAGTCTGCAACTTACTGTTTAGTATAATTTCAAAAAAGAAGGTATGAAGTGTTGGCCATTATCTCCTATGGTAATAAGCTAGGAGTGTTTATAGTGCAAATGGAGATCCTTAAGGAAAATGCAGTCAGGCATCACTCTTACTGCTATGGATTTTGCGTTATAGAGGCATCTCAGTGATACTGCTGGATAATGGTGGCTTATGGTTCCTCTGAATAGATTATTAGATTTTATTTTTTTTTCTGCTTGAAATTTTCCATCCTTATACTGCAATAAAAATGTTGGAGCAATCATATCAGCTTGCTTTAGGAAAACTGATTGTCATCTTTTTTTTTTCACAGCTCACACTGCATGCATTTATGAGACTGAAAGGAAGGTGAGAGCTGCCAAGAAATACAAGCTCCCGAAAAGGTCTTAGTCATAATTTTCCTAAAGGAATTTTCTTTCTCAATGCATAGATAACAAATAGCAATGAAAATTCAGTGCTATTCAGCCCTGTAGTTCTTCTGTTACTCAGAGTTAATATTTTACTTAAGAACCACTAGTTATGATATCATTACCATAATAATGGCAATTTGTTACTCATTCTGCATTTCATAACAATAACAAGGAATTCTCAACTTGGCTTATTGAGATGAGACTTCTTGAGATGGATAAACTTTGCCTGGCCGGTATAATAATTCATGTTTGGAAACAATTATCAGGATGAGTAGTGTCTGTGGTAGCTGATAGCTCTGAACTATTTGTTAGGTATAGCTCTGCTTCCTAAAGGACAAAATTGTGTAGTCTGTGCTTTTGGCATTCCGAAGAGCCAGGTACACTGATAGAGAAACAGACACAGAGACTTATACAGTTACTGTGAGCAACAAACCAGGTTGACATGGACAGAGCAATACCTTTACTAGCACCCAAGTATCCATAACCATCCCCCTCCATGAACATTGACACAGTCCAGTCCTTTTCTATCTTTCTAAGTGATCTGGATTGGATGTTTTCTAGTGAAACATGAACACACCTTCACTCCCTATATTCATAAGCACATCATGTTCCTCAAATAACAGTATAGAAATTAATTGAAATTTATCCATGTACTGTCTGTGGCTGGATGTCAAGTCCATTACCCAGTCCTTGGTGCAAAGCTTGGGTCTTTCTATGAACCATATCTCCATGAAAGAGTCCACTATTTCCCTAGTGCACTGTGCACAAACACAGATTTATCCCATCAGTAGGCAGCCTTAGGCACTTTAGACTTCCAAGTGCTATTTCTAGGATCTGTAAGACCCTCATTGCTCTGTGAGCTGTGTTCGCTTCTTCTTCTGCACCCTTGCCCTCCTCTCTGACCAAGCAGAGTTTCAGTCCTTTGGACTGACTTTTCTCTGTTGAGCCTGATGTCTGTCCTCAGCCTAATTTTGCATGTATGAGGTATGGAAGTCCTTGCCTGGCATGGGAGACTGATTGGGACTGAAAACACCGATAGCAGTGAAATCAGGCAACTTTATTTCCACAACTAAGTCAGATTCAGGATTTGTGTGCACACAGAGGAGAAGTATGAGATGGATAGGGCAAGCCTTAGACACTGAGGCTCTTTGGATCACCAGGCATTGCCCTGAAAATGGGCATGGTCCACTGCAGCCTGCAGTGGATCCTGCTCATCCTCTTTCTCTGGCCAG